GTACTGCCATCTGTGCCTGTGTGAACCAGTCCAAAGCCACAATCAAAGAAGTCGTATCTTTTAACTCCTTCCTGCTGGCTGCATGCATATATGCAGCTTCTCGGTGGGTGGGCCTTAACACTGAGAGGCCACATATATGCACACCCAAAAAACAGAACTGTGCCCAAAGTGCGCACCATGCACAGTTACGAAAAGCTCTAAATCTCTACTTGCGATCTGGAGCTTTCCAATCATGTGACCGCTGTGAAAGCCAATCATGGCAGTCACATGATTTCAAACCCCACCCCCTCTCCCAGCATCTGAAACCCCTTAAAGGGCCAGGAGGGTGCTGGCACCAAAGGGTTAATCATCCCCAGTACAAGTTTCTTTGGGTCAGAAAAGACAATTCTTTTTTTTCCAACACATTTCTAGCAAGAGTCTCACTATAGCGGACAGATTTTTAGTGGTAAAATCAAGTTCAGTAAACACCTTTACAAGCCAGCATCAATGTTTACAGCATTTCATTCAGTTGCCCCTGCTAATGACAAAGGGCACAATGTGGAAACAGCTGGAGAGCTGAAAGTAAAACCACATTATCTTCCATGACTGATTCTGAAATGAACAGCTGAACCACAAATAAACCGGTACAACATTCATATACAGTACATTACACGTTAGATGCTTCATCTTGGAATTTACATTGCTCTCGTATTTCACTTCCTCAGTTTTGTTTAGCAGTTATTATAAGACACTATCAGATAGCTGGGGATTTTACCAGTCGCCTTTGTGCCAAACTATTTTTTACTAAGGATATTAATTCTTCTTCTGCCTTAAACCAGAGCTCCAAGCAAAGTGTATATTGTCAGGAGCTCAAATAAATGGACCACATATATGTCCTTAAAAGCTGAAAGCATCCTCCATGCTCCTAGTTCAGGATCCGTCTCCTCTTCTAATTATGAAGATGGCATTGATATAGGAAAAATGTCTGTTGGAGTTCAGCTTTATTAGGATGCTCAGAGACCTACAAAGGTGGGCAGATGTAAATACACATCCTAAACTCCCTCAGGAACCACAAACTTGACCTGGCCCAAAATGTTTTCTTTTATATCAAAGGAGGACGGGAGGAGAGGAGGGTATCCAAGTACTGCCAAATCAACAGTTCTGCAAGACAGCACCTGGCTTATGGGATAGGGATCCCCCATAGAGATAAAACTGTAGGCACATCAAGCTGACAACAGCTGAATTTGGTGATGGTCATTTCATATCTAAGGATACTTTCAGTCAACTTTCCTCCAGCCTGCTGTCTCAACAGTAAATGTGCATTAGCATATTGATGAAGTTATCCCTGTGCTCATTCCTTTTAGCTTATTCACATTGCAAAACTGACAACTTTCTACAAAGTCTCCCTCTCTGACTATAAGCAAGGTGAATTATTGTCATGTGGCAGTATATTGGAGTACAGTGAGGCAGATAGAGCTACAAACGTTACCTATAGACATTAGGAGACAGCCCGAAAAAAACCAATTAGAGTGGCAAAAATGCCATTTGGCTCTGGCCCATTAGGAAAAGCAGGGCATATCATGGCAGTTGCAAACATAGAGCTTGGATTCAGTAAATAATTCATATAGTTGAGCCTTTTAAGAGTAGTCATAGAGGAGGGTGCAATGCACAAGCATTGAAGTAACTTCTTTTAATCGTTCTCTTACCTTTTTGACTGATTATCCCCTTTGGGAGCAGTCAACTTGAAGTGTTCACAAACACACATACAATACATATACAAGGCCCATCTTCTGACAAAAAAAAATCTTTTTTGTTTTGAATCTTAGATCTATGGGACCTTAAATACTCTATGCCAAAATAGAAAATATACTGTATATTGACTCATTTTAACAAATCCATGATATTCCTAAAAAAAAAGAATTTTGAGCATACAAATTGCTGTGTCCTTGAAATGAAAAGTCTAAATTGTCTTTTACGAAGACGGCCAAGGCCTGATCTTTGCCCTGGGCTCACTTATATCTTAAAGTGGCTCTGAGCCAAACAAACAGCTTACCAAACATTCTGTGTGCAATGCTACCATTATCCTGGAGAGGAGTTTGCTAGCTGAAAAATCAACCCAACTGAGCTTCTTTTGAGATCCATTGTCTAGGCATTTATGTTGAAGTCTGAAAGAATTTGCACTTGTTTTGTACATAATTTTTTTAAATAATTTATCGTTCAGAATAAACAAAATACATTTTACAGCCCATCTCCAGACCAAAACCCATTTAGCTGTTTACTTTATTTTTACCTTTTATAATTCACTATCTGGTTCCCTTGTCCTGTTTCTGGACACGTTGCTTACTCCCTGGTAGTAACCAACACATCTGACGTCACTGCTCAGATTCTGCTTCTGGATCCTGAGAGCACCCCAGCTGCTGGATATTTATTTATTTATTTCAGGCACCTATATAGCGCTGTCAATTTACACAGTGCTTTACAATTATATATATATATATATATATATATATATATATATATAGTACATTCATATCAGTCCCTTAACCCTTAAGGGGCATACAATCTAAGGTCCCCAACTCACATTCATACTAGGGCCAATTTAGACAGGAGCCAATTAACCTACCAGCATGTCTTTGGAGTGTAGGAGGAAACTGGAGTACCCAGAGGAAACTCACGCAGGCACTGGGAGAACATGCAAACTCCAGGCAGGTGGTGCCATGGTTGGGATTTTAACAAACTGCTCTAGTACTGCCAGGTGGAAGTGCTAACCATTCAGCCACTGTGCTGCATGAAGAAAGATTCTGGCCAGGAATGTCACATGATCATGGATTTAGGTGAGTAAAAGCATTTAGTTAAAGGGAGTGGGTAAAACAGTGTTCAACTTTTAAAATATTTTCTTTAAGGTACCTTTTCAGGTAAATATGAGATGCTGCATATTAATACATGGCATTCCCCTTTTAAGTCAACAGAGAAAGTTTACAGGTCTTTTTCACATGTATAGCTTTATCAATTCACAGTGTGTTTAAAAATCCTTCTGTTTACAAGCTCCATAGCTCAAGCTGCAATCAGCAATGATTAATTCCAGTGACTTATCGCTTATTGTATGGCTCAATCAGACTTTGGGAGCCCCAGGCAGGCAGCCACTGCTGTATTAAATGTTTATTTTGGAAAACTTGTATTGTGAATGTATAGCGTATAGTAAAAAAACAAACAAATATAAAGCAACAGTTTAAAAAGATATAAAGATAAGAATTAAAATATAAATGACTCATAATCATTACATTTAAGCTTTACGACACCTATAAAACCCATCATTGCCACATGATCTTGCCAAAATCGGAAAAAAGCAAAGATCTTGTCATGTGTATGGCTTCAGTGCTCACCTTCTACTTTGGTTAGAAATATAATTAATCAGCAGAACTGTGGCTTTATGGTTAGTGCTCCTCCCTTGCAACCCTAGGATCCATGGTTAGCATCTTGGCCAGGGCAATATCTGCTTGGAGTTTACAGATCTCCCTGTGCTGGTTTGAGTTTCCTCCAACACTCCGAAGACATGCTGGTAGGTAAATTGGTCCTAGTGTATTCATGTGAGATGGGAACCTTAGATTGCAATCTCCTTGAGGGGTGGGAGTGTTGTGAATGTACAATATGTTAAGTGCTGTATAAATAGTTGGTGTTATAAAAATGCCTAAAAGTAATTAAATACATGAATTGCAGTTATAAAGACAGAGTTTAGATAGCAGTCACATGTTAGCAATCTCCAAAATTCAAAATTATTTCTTTAGAAAGAGAAGCTGGGAACAAGGGGGAGGACCCAGCCAGCAGGGTTATCAGTAGCTTTCCAGCTGGTGTCATAGGTGGCCCACAACACCCCAACCAGGAGATTGTCCTCTTATGTCTATTTGTGCCTTATGCATAGCAATCTGCATGAAATGGCTAACCAATAACAATGGATATAAAGGCATTTGCTGATACTTTAACAAGGGTTTCAATATGTTTATTAAAAAATTCTTATTTTTCGTACATTTTCTCTATAGAAAAGAAAACAGTTGGCTTTCAGTCTTAGATTAGTGGGAAACTCTAGGTGACAATAATCACTCTTACCATTAGAAGTGACTTTATACCACCTAACTCTCACAACAATGCAGAAAATGGTCCATATTGCTTGTTTTTATCAGGCTATAGGTTGGCAAGCTAAATGTATCCTTCAAAAAATATATCCTTCAAAAATGTAGGCTTCTGATACTGGCTACTTTAACAATCCTGAACGTTAGTCTCCCTCTCTCTGTCTATTCAAAAATGGAAAGATCAGCATCACAGTGGTAATTATAATTGCCATGGGTCCTGGATTCAACACTAAATACAATGTCTACGTGGTGTTTGTATATCACAATGTCTATGGGTCAAAAAAAAAAGAAAGCAAAACTCATTGTGATAGACTGCCTGACACCCCGACTGAGTATCTCTGCCAAGGTACAGCTTCCTCCTCTCTGGAACCAGAATATAGTAAATTTACCCCAAGCATCAGACAGAATGTTGGAGTAAAACAGGACTGAATTTATTAACAAACAGCACAGCATTTATGCACAAAAACCTTCCCCCTAGACAGGTATGGCCCACATTACAACTCCCAGGAGAAAATTAGATTATATAAACAAATAAACAATCAAACTCAAGAAAAAAAATTGATTCCTTCCCAGCACCTAGCAGTCTGGAAGTGATTAACCACCTCCCGCCCGCCATATAGTAATATGATGGACGCAAGGTGGTTCTCTCGTTCTGGGAGGACGTCATATGACATCCTCCCATTCTCACCATGCAGTGCGGCGATCGGCGGTGCGCTGTGTCCCTCGGACACAGCGGATCACCGATCACGGAAAGAGCCGAAGATGTCATGTGATCAGCTGTGTCCAATCACAGCTGATCGCATGTAAACAGGGAAATGCCAGTTATAGGCATTTCTCTCCTCATGAGCTATCACGCTGACAGCTCGAGAGGAGAGGAGAGCCGGTAATTGGCTTCCGCAGAGTGGACATGTACACTGATCATCAGGGCACTGATGATCAGTGTGCCCTGATGATCAGTGTAGCCCCAGCAGTGCCACCTGTCAGTGCTCATCAGTGCCTTGTGCCAGTGCCCATCAGTGCCACATCAATGCCACATATCAGTGCCTACCAGTGCACATCAATGCCACATATCAGTGCCCATCTGAACTGCCTTTCAGTGTCACCCATCAGTGCCAGTCAGTGCCACCTATCAATGCCAAGCAGTGCCACCTATCAGTGCTGCCAATCAGTGCCGCCTATCAGTGCCAGTCAGTGCCACCTAACAGTGCCAGTCAGTGCTAGCCGCCTATCAGTGCCAGTCAGTGCAACCTATCAGTGCCAGTCAGTGCCGCCTATCAGTGCCATGTATTAGTGCTGCCTTTCAGTGCCCATCAGTGATGCCTGTCAATGCCCATCAGTGCCACCTATCAGTGCCTCCACATCAGTGCCCATCAGTACCACCTACCATTGTCCATCAGTGCAGCCTCAGTGTCCATCACTGCAGCCTCATTAGCGCACATCAGTGAAGGAGAAAAATCACTTATTTACAAAATTTTATAACACAAAAACTAAGAAAAAAACTTTTTTTTTTTTTTCAAACTTTTCAGTGGTTTTTAGTTTGTTTAAGAAAAAATAAAAAACCCAGAGGTGATTAAATGCCACCAAAATAAAGCTCTATCTGTCACAAAAAAAATTATAAAAATCTCATATGGGTACAGTGTTGCATGACCGCGCAATTGTCATTCAAAGTGCGACAGTGCTGAAAGCTGGAAATTGACCAGGAAGGGGGTATAAGTGCCCTGTAGGCTTGTGGTTAAACAAAATGAGTGCTTATCATTTAAACCTAATTACAGCAAACAATAGTTGATGCCAGGAAACCTGTAACAGAAAATAAAGTTTCTTAACCCCACGTGCTGGAATTCACCCCCTGCACATAACACATCATTCCAGGATAATAGTTCCACTATGCACAGAATGCCAAGGGGTCCCAGAAACAGTCCCTCCAGCCCTGATTGCATGGAAATGGTAGCTGGTATAATTCACAGCCAGCCAGGTACCCAGGGAAGTGATATAATGCTCTTTTGGAAAAGGTTCCTTGTAACCCCAGAGGGGGGTCTCCTTAGTCTTGGGTCCATAGTCGGTGGGAAGGAGGCTGGCCCCCAGGAACCTCCAGGAACCCAAGTATCGGTGGTTTCCGTGACACTCATGTACTTTTTTGAGAATAGGGTGTACAGCATAGAGTGACTGATCGCAGAAGTGTGAACAGGGACAATTAGAAAGAATGTGATAAACATTCACTGCACGTGAACCAATCAGTCTAATTTAAAACACATGCACCAGAAAGACTGACCTGCGGTGAATGTTTAGTAAATGTCATGTACTGTATACTGTTTTATAAATGTATCCCACAATGTGATCCAGTACATTTATCTTGCTTCCCATCTGGGGAATTATAGTGACCAGTGTAAGGTTATATGAAACATACAAAAACTTTCTTCAGTGATAAGTCACTCTGGACCCAGGCTGTGATATTCTGCTCTGGACAGCCTGAAGCCATGTGATAGGATGTTCAGAGAAAAACTTTGAAAAATGTCTCTGAACTTCACTAAAAAGGAAATATCTTGGCCAAAGGCAACGTGAGTTCATTCTGAACAAATCTTATGAACGTCAGCAGCTGTTTCAAGAACTGCATGTGCTCAGGGAATTTGACTGCCTAAAAACAACTTATGCTCCTACAGCCTCATACTGCCTTGAGACCTTCTGATCAGGATTAGGAAAAACATTTAGCTCAGTCATTCTGAAAAGTCTTTTTACTGAACTTTAAATAAGCTGTTTTATGTAGTGCAGTAACGCAGTTCCGGCGCCTCCAGCATTGAATGTACAGTATGTAGTAACAAGGGGTGCTGGGGTGTGCTGGAGGTTCTATTGATAATGGTTGCTAGGAGATCTATTGTTGCTGGGGGGGTCTATTGTTGCTGGTGGAGGATCCATTGATACTGAGCAATCATTTGTTGCTGGGCGGGATCTACTATTGATGGAGGGATCTATTGCTGCTGGAAGGTCTATTGATGCTGGCTGCTTGGAGATCTATTGTTGCTTGTGGGGTCTATTGTTGCTGGTGGGTAATCTATTGGTGCTGAGTGATCAATTGTTGCTGGGAGGGATCTATTGTTGAGGGAGGGAGATGTATGACGTTGCTAGCTGCCAGAGGGTCTATTGACACTGGCTGCTAGTAGATCTATTGTTGCTGGTGGGGGTTTATTGTTGCTGAGGTGGATCTGTTGTTGCAGGATTATTGTGTTGCAGAGGGTATTTGTTGCTAGGTGGTCTATTGCTGCTAAAGGGATCTGTTTCTGCTGGCTGCAAGGGATCTATTTGACTGCTTTCCTTGTTATTATTAACCACTTTGCGCTGGCGCCTATCGTCCTTTTAAGGGTTTCAGAAGCTGGGAGGCGGGCGGGGTTTTAGGGTCATGTGGGTTAACAAATTCCATACAAATTACTTAGCACCACAAAATGATACTTGGTTCTGTATTCTCTAAAAGGAGCGGTACTGGGAGATGGGTAAGGGGTGGAACCAAGGAATGGTGCTTGGAGGTGGGTAGGGACAAGGGGGGAGTACCTGCACCTGTACCGAGAAAAAAAGCCCTGAGTGCAATTCATTGCTTTTCACTAATAAATAATTCTTCTATAATTTTCAGAGTTTGTAGGCACCAAGAAAAAGGCAGGAGGAGAAGGAAAACTAGGAGTATTACTAACAGCAACCAGATTATAAATGCTAATAATCTAGCGCAGGTTTAAAAATGGAAATTATTTGAAAAATTAAATCAGATCTTTAGCCATAAAGTGAATGTGCCTCCTGCCCACCCCTCCTCCACGCCACTACTTGTATAATGGGTTTTTTAAAATCTTTCTACCCTTTTTTTTTTTCTTTAAAGGATTTAGACCCGCCCCCAAACATGCCATTTGCCTAGGTGAATGACGTGTACTGTGCCAGCTGTGCCTCCTAAGATATGGATGTCACATATCTCAGAAGACTTTACTGTGTAATTTACAGAAGAGGAAGAAGGTGGGTCTAGTGGTACGTCATCAGGAGGTCTGCCCGCTAAACTCTTCGGATGACGTCGTAGATAACATGGCGGCGCGGGACCAAGCAGTGGCAGGGCATGAGAGGATCTCGGCGGAACAATGCTGGATCCGCTGCATGGTGGGAATAAAAGGAATAAAAAAGGGGGGGGGGGTGGAGATCCACTTTAAAAGACATCAACTTTATTGTTTACCTCATCAACATTTATAGAATTGCCATTGCCTGGCAATAGAATGGTAATTTCTTCTCTCCAATTACATAATGAGAGATGTAACTCCCTCATCACAAGTCTGAACAGCTTAGCCAAGTTTGTGCACACAGTGCCAAGACCATTCCCTCAAATAAGCGGTCTCATAAAGAGTAGGAGCATGCATGGCCACCTTTTGCAGCTGAGAACAGTAGTCACTTGATCACTTCTACAAAAAAAAGGAAAAAGGCATTTATCATTTTTTTTAAACAGTTACACAAATGTTTTGCCTTGCATTTCTATTTTAAGTTGAATGCCTTGTTTTAAAAGGTAAGGGTGCACATATACTTTACAACAGCGGTCACTAAACATAGAATGTGCCCATCAGAGTGCCCCTTAACATAAAATGTGCCCATCAGAGTGCCCCTTAACATAACATGTACCCTTCAGCATACCCCTTATTTTATGTTAAGGGGCACTCTGACAAGCACATTTGATGTTAAGGGGCATTCTGATGGGCACATTTTATGTTAAGGGGCACTCTGATGGGCACAACATAGAATGTGCCCATCAGAGTGCCCCCTTAACATAAAATGTATCCATCAAAGTGCCCCTTAACATAAAATGTATCCATCAGGGTGCCCCTTAATATAAATGTGCCCATCAGAGTGCCCCTTATTTTATGTTAAGGGACACTCTGATGGGCACATATTATGCTAAGGAGCACTCTGGCCGGCCTATTTTATGTTAAGGGGGCACTCTGACAGGCACAAACTGTGGAAAGGGGCACTCTGATGGGCAATATGATGTAAGGGGGTACTCTGATGGGGAAATATGTTAGAAAAGGGTACTTTGAGTGTAAGGGGGCACTCTGACGGGAATACCTGATGTAAGGTGGCAATGTGATGGGGTTACCGTATGTAAGGGGCACTCTGATGGGGATACCTGATGTAAGGTGGCACTGTGATGGGGATACCTGATGTAAGGTGGCACTGTGATGGGGTTACCGTATGTAAGGGGCACTCTGATGGGGATACCTGATGTAAGGTGGCACTGTGATGGGGATACCTGATTTAAAGGGGTACTCTGATGGTTATACCTGATGTAAGGGGGTACTCTGATGAGCACACCTGATGTGATGGGAATACATGATGTAAAGTTGCACTTTGATGGCGACACCTAATGTAAGGGGGCACACTGATGGGCACACCCTATTCGGACCTTGGCCAGAAGAAAATCTTAGTGACCAGACCTCCTTGAATTTTAATTCAATACCCCTGCTTTACAGTGTATTTAAACCTTGTAAAACAAACTATACTGTTAAATATATAGGGCAGCATAGTGGCAAAATGGTTAGCACTTCCGCCTGGCAGTACTAGGGTAATTGGCTCAAATCCCAACCATGTCACCACCTGCCTGGAGTTTGCAAAGGCATGCTGGTAGGTTAATTGGCTCCTGTCTAAATTGGCCCTAGTATGTGTATGTATGAATGTGAGTTAGGGACCTTAGAATGCATGCTCCTTGAGGGTTAGGGACTGATGTGAATGTATGTAAACTCTAACGAGCAGGGTCCTCTGTTTCCTCTTGTACCAAATTGTATTGTAACTGTAATGTCTACCTTCATTTTGTAAAGCGCTGTGCAAACTGTTGGCGCTATATAAATCCTGTATAATAATAATAATATATAGAGTGCCTTGAAGAAGTATTCATGCTCCTTGAAATTTTCTACATTTTGTCATGTTACACCCAAAAACGTAAATGTATTTTATTGGGATTTTATGTGATAGACCAACACAAAGTGGCACATAATTGTAAAGTGGAAGGAAAATGATCAATGGTTTTCAACATTTTTTACAAATAAATATCTGAAAAGTGTGGGTGCATTTATATTCAGCTCCCCTGAGTCAATACTTTGTAGACCGACCTTTCACTGCATTTACAGCTGCATGTCTTTTTTGGGGATGTCTCTACCAGCTTTGCACATCCAGAGAGGAACATTTTTGCCCATTCTTCTTTGCAAAATAGGTCAAGCTTTGTCAGATGGGATGGAGGGCATCTGTGAACAGCAATTTTCAAGTCTTTTCACAGATTCTCAGTTGGATTTAGGTCTGGACTTTGACTGGGCCATTCTAACACATGAATATGCTTTGATCTAAACCATTCCATTGTAGCTCTGGCTGGAAGTTTAGGGTCGTTGTCCTGCTGGAAGGTGAACCTCCGCCCCAGTTTCAAATCTTTTGCAGACTCTAACAGGTTTTCTTCTAAGATTGCCCTGTATTTGGCTCCATCCATCTTCCCATCAACTCTGACCAGCTTTCCTGTCCCTGCTGAAGAAAAGCATCCCCATAACATGATGTTGCCACCACCATGTTTCACGGTGGAGATGGTGTGTTCAGGGTAATGTGCAGAGTTTTGAGCCACACATAGCTGTTTGCTTTTAAGCCAAAAAGTTCAATTTTGGTGTCATCTGACCAGAGAACCTTCTTCTACATATTTGCTGTGTCCCCCACATGGCGTCTTGCAAACTGAAAACGGGACTTCTTATGGCTTTCTTTCAACAATGGCTTTCTTCTTGCCAATTTTCCATAAAGGCCAGATTTGTGGAGTGCACGCCTAATAGTTGTCCTGTGGACAGATTCTCCCACCTGAGCTGTGGATCTCTGCAGCTCCTCCAAAGTTAGCATGGGCCTCTTGGCTGCTTCTCTGATTAATGCTGTCCTTGCCTGGCCTGTCAGTTTAGGTGGACGGCCATATCTTGGTAGGTTTGCAGTTGTGCCATACACTTTCCATTTTCGGATGATGGATTGATCAGTGCTTTGTGAGATGTTCAAAGTTTGGGATAATTTTTTAAAACCTATCCCTGCTTTAAACTTCTCCACAACGTTATCCCTGACCTGTCTGATGTGTTCCGTGGCATTCATGATGCTGTTTTTTCACTAATGTTCTCTAATAAACCTCTGAGGGCTTCACAGAATAGCTGTATTTATACTGAGATTAAATTACACGCAGGTGCACTCTATTTACTGATTAGGTGACTTCTGAAAGCAATTGATTCCACTAGATTTTAGTTAGGGGTATCAGAGCAAAGTGGGCTGAATACAAATGCATGCCACACTTACAGATATTTATTTTTAACAAATTTTGAAAACCATTTATTATTTTCCTTCCACTTCACAATTATGTATCACTTTGTGTTGGCCTATCACATAAAATCCCAATAAAATACAATTACGTTTTTGGTTGTAACATGACAAAATGTGGAAAATTTCACTATATATATATATATATAAATATATATATATATATATATATATATATATATATATATATGTATATGTAAAGTGCTGCGTAAATTGACGGTGCTATATAAATACCTGTAACAAATAAAAACTTTTTTTTTCTTTTTTGTAAGTGATCACATGACCTCTGTTTTCAGCTGCATAGGGGACATAGAGAAGTGGGGTGGAGACACCTTCTGACAATGAGTGGCGTAGCAACACGAGTTTGCACTGGACACAGGCACAGTCCTGTATAAAATGCAGACAGAAATAGGAGCTGGGCAGGAGGACGTGTCAGCAGAAGTCTGACCATTGAAGTACAGGCAGGCTGTGCTCCCACATAGAATGCAGAAAAACAAACTGACCACGCTGGGATGAATGTAATTCTATGCCCTGGCGTGCATGGCAGCATCAGGACTGGCATGACCACCAAACACTTCACACAAAGGAAGCAATGCAAAGAGAACAGGATACTTTTTCATACAAGTACATGGTAACATATCAGAATTATGAAAAGTTGGGGCAACAATCTATTTTTACAAAGAGTTGTTCAGGCATAAAACATGCAGCACTCTTCCAAAGAGAGCAAACATAGCAGAGTCTGCTGACAATTAATAAAAGGTCACAAGTCTCTCTGTTAATTAGGAGTGATTGCTGCCTGTTTTATGCTGTGTCTATGACAGACACAGCACAGATCAGTTCAGCAGGAACTGCATGCTTGAGTTCCTCTGCCCACTTCCAGCTCATCTGAGTGCACGAGGGAACTGACAGGGTGTTTACTCTGCAGAGTCAGCCCTGCAGGGTCTGCCGTTTCACATTCTGCAATCCAGATCTGACCTGGTGAGAATCTGTGGCAGTTTTCTATATTGAAAACTGCTTTGATTCCTTTGTTTTCTGTAACAGTGAAGTGGCGAGCGGGCGACCAGATATGATTATTGCACCACATCCCTTAAAATTGCAAATATTCAATAGAGAAGATGAGACTTTCAGGGTGCTTGAACATGAATACCAAATATATTAAAAAGTTATATAATTTTATTTCATATTTTTGTAAAAAACACAACAAGAAAGGAAAAAATACAGAAACATAAAAACAATTTCAGTACTAAGGGTAAAACTGAGATTCAAATCTCAGTTTTACCCTAAGTACTGAAATTGTTTTTATGTTTCTGTATTTTTTCCTTTCTTGTGTTTTTTACAAAAATCTCAGTTTTACTCTAAGTACTGAAATTGTTTTTGTTTCTGTATTTTTTCCTTTCTTGTTGCGTTTTTTACAAAAATACGAAAAAAAATTATATTACTTTTTAATATATTTGGTATTCATGTTCATGCACCCTGAAAGTCCCATCTTCTCTATTGAATATTTCCTTTGTTTGCTAGGTGAAGACCCTGTGCCAGTTTCTATTTCACTCTGTAGTAGAAATTGGTGTGGGTGACACAGAGGGGGTGTAGAAGTACTCACACTGTCCTGTCCTGTTATTGTGGTGGGTTGGTCGTTGCCTTCAGGCCTTACACTGGGCTGGCTCCTTTCTTGCTGCACAGGCTGTTATCCTCAGAGGACGGTGGGAGAGTGGAGTTCCTCACTTCCAAGATCCTACCTGTAGATAGGCTCCCCTCCCTGGGGTCTCCTCCTAGGCTCCACACTCCAGCCTTCCTCTCATTCCATCTTCCACCTGACACTACACACTGATCCCCAGGCTCTTTGTTATTTAAGGGTTGTCCATGGTCACATTGCTCAGTCTCCTGCCAGGGCATTGGCCAATGTCCCTCAACATACAGATCTGGGTCTCCTCTCCTCCTCCACCCCTATTCCAGAATGTTCTCTCAGTTTCTGGAAAGGTGGGAGGGCTGCACAAGCCCTGACCTGTAGAACCACCCAGTCTGTCTTGAGGTGAACTCCTGCCTGCCTCACTCACTCCCCGGCTGATTCATTCCAGGCTGCTACCCAGCCTCTAACAAAAAAACCTATCTAGCTAAACCTAGAAGGTGTTCCACTAATTTCAGATAACAGGCCTTAGGACAGGAATATGTGTGTGTGCCGGCTTCAGGCCATGAAACAATATCACAGAGTTTCTTTAAAACAAAAGGCAGGTGACTGTCTTATGCAAGACGAAGCAGGGCAGTCTCAGGGTCCACATGGCACCAATAGCCAACCAATGTGGACCCACCTTACATGTTATTCCTATTACACTTGGTGAGGCAATAGCTGACAGGCAAGGTCATGGTCAAACAGGAAAAAGATCAGGGCAGGTGGATAACAAGGACCCTGGAGAATCAGGCAAAAGATCAGCGCATGTGGATAACAAGGATCTCACAGAAACAGGCAAAAGATCAGGGCAGGCAGAAAACAGGTATCTGGACCAAAAACCACAAGTACAGGAGCCTGGGAACAGACAGACAGTCTAAGGGTCTGTTCACACTTGGGGGGGGGGGGGGGTAACATTGGCTGCTGAGCTGTGGTTTAACAACTCCTCTTAAAGGATAAGTTCAACTTTTTGCAGGTAAAAAATGTGCATGTATTATTTTTTTTATTAGGCGCCTATAAAGCATTCAACCCGCAATAAACAGATCCTGGGTGCAATGCAGGACTCTTGCAGACTGTCAGTGTGAGCAGTCTGTTTGTACCTTGTATGAGCAGGCAGTTACACAATGACAGGAAGCATCAATGAACTACCTAGAGCGCTCAACAGCCTCATTGAGAACTACAAAATGACAGCCGCAAAGGCTGTCAGTACTTGTAGTGTATTCATTCACAGAACTCTGAACACAGAACGCGCTCTTTTCAAACAGTGACAGCAAGTACAATGAGAAGATCCCTGACCTGCTGGAACAGGAACATGTTACACCCTAAAAATGAGTGGAACATGTAACCCAAAGATGAACCTAACCTTTAGGCTCCATGCACACTGACTTAAAAAAATGCTGCTCCTAGAAGCA